TTCGGATTTTGCACATCGTGTGGTCCTACAAGTCACGCAGCCTTCTTCCCATCATATCCCAGTATGTTCGATATGAATACTCCACTGGCCCTCTTCAGGGCCACACGATGTGCAAAATCCGAACGGCAACCTCCACGTGCACATTGGGTTACGCTGATGTCGACGGTAATGAACGAAAATACAAGGGTTACTTCAAAATGCTGTAACTTGGCGAAAAAAATCGCAGTAACTTCTGTTTTTTTAATTGAAGGGAAAAGTACACACTTTTTGATACTTCGAGCAGAATTAGCGAGGAAAAATTTCCTACGCCCGGGCACCTGGCTAAAGTTGGTTAGTTTTTAGGTAAAAACATGTCCTTACATTTTAAAAGCTACAGCAGCGCAGATGCATTCGAGGAAAAATCTGGTGACTAGTTTTGAAGCTGAGAGTGCAAGCTTTAATTTAAAAAAAAACGATCTTGCTACGATGATTTTTAACGGAGATATCGTCGGTAATGTCGAAAACACAAGGGTTATTTCAATGAGCTGTGATTTGGCGAAAAAAAATCGTAGGAACTGTTTTTTTTAAATTGAAGAGAAAAGTATACACTTTTTGATACCGTAATCAGAACTGGCGAAGAAAAATTACTACACTCCGCACAGGTGCGTCAAAGTGTGCAATTTTTTAGAGAAAAAACATGGTCATGATTTTGAGAAAGTTCCGGGAAATAGGAAGAGTGAATGCAAATTCCAATAAGAGCTTCTTAAAGCAGAGGCTTTGCCCTATAAAATGGAAAAAAAAAACTTTTCAATTCGACCAGTTTTCGCGAAGTTACGCTTATTTGAAATTCGCCAAATTTTGATGTAATTTCTTGTTGCGTTAATTTTTTTGACCAGTGTATAATTATTTAATTTTTGTACTTAATGTATTATAAAATTAATATCAGTAAAAGTACCAAAACGAAAGAAGTGCATATTTATAATTGAATTAATATTTATTTGTGCAGCTCCAATTATCGCATCTTCGCATTGGCCCGACATGATATAACGATAACCAATGTTTATGGCATAAAGACTAGAGCTGCATGCTGTATCGACTATTTGTGATGGTCCTTTCAGGTCAAAATGGTGCGAAATCATGTTTGCCAGTGAAGATTTTGAACATCCAGTAACATTCAGACCATTTAGCTAATTACATAAAATTAACAATTTTACACGTTTTCGGACTTGAGTGATACAAACATATGAATTTCTATATATTAATTTATAATAATTTATTCCTGGTATACTTATCAATAACTTTCTTTACCTTAAGATCCGTATACATCAAGTTAAGTTGTGTTTCACACAAGGAGTTCCCTATGATCACGGCGGTATTTTTTCCTCGCAATTGTTTCGGATTGATCCCCGCATCAATAATTGCCTCATAAGAATGTTCCAATAATATTTTTATTTCAGGTAGAAATATTTGCGCTTGCTCAAAAGGAAAGTCGAAGAAATCCGCATCAAACTTTCTCGTATTATTAATTACTCCCATACGTCTTGGTAGATCCGGATGTTCTAACAAAGTGTACAATTTCACACAAAAATGCTCACACTTTCTTATATGAAATTTTAATTAAAGTACATTTTTTAACATGTGTATTATACTGTAATGTTATTGCAGAAACGAAAGTCAGAATTGAACGTTAATTATTTTAAATGAACGTTCCCAGAAAACAATATGTTAAATGAAAACGATTTCTAAAAGATATCGCATTTCTGAACCTGTTAACTTAGATAGGTTTCTAAAAGATCACGTAAATATATCAGAATGTTATATCTAATGCGCCGTTTTTCTGAAAACAAAAAGATATCACGAAATGATGTCTAAAGGATATTTCTCAAATTGAACGTCTTTAAGATACCTAAATTATATCAACATATTGAGTTCTTATTTATGATACCTGAAACAGATCTGATACATATGGAGAGGTTAACATTCTTATTTATGATATCTGAAAGAAATCTGATATATGTTCACATATGTGTATTTCTTATTTCTGATATTTATAAAATAATATTGTAAGAGCTGATTGTTTCAAAACTTCTTGGTAAATTTATTTACCCGACAAATAGCATATTTTTATCTTTTTTAACTTCTCTGGAAAAAAGACGAAGATATGCTATCTGTTGGGTAAAATTGATTAAGAAATTAGAAAAATCGGTCCTAAATATTTTTAATTATTATTATTAATATATATACAATATACATATATATATTAGGCCGTATCACTAGTATATCAATTCCGCTTTTCAGATACTTTTCACAATTATATTGCAACTATATTCAGACCTTTTTATGATATAAAAATAAGTTTGTTGAGTTGAAAAATAATTTTATATGTATATATGCTGCTTGAATTTTTGTAACTTCTAATAGAATTCTTGAAATGTTATATCCAAACAATCGAACATAAAATTTTATCGAAAGAAATAAAGGAATAATAATATAACGAGACAAATTTTTTAATACTTATTTAACAAAGATATAATGCAAACAAATTCAATACAAATAAATATTTTATTAAAAGACGGCCTTTTCTAACTTAATTGTTGGATACATATCGGTCTTGATTCAAGACATTATTGGTTATTAAAAAACTTGGCGAAAAGAAATATATTTTGTACATTATTGTATAAGTCCTAAAAAATTGTTTTTAAATAATAATAAAAATGTAAAGAGTCCTTCATTAATAAAAACACTTAAAATCTAGAAGATATACTGTTGATTGTTAAAACATTAATTTATCTGAACAAACTAAACAAACAGTAGTATTTCTATAATGAATTAATTAGTCTAGCCATTTTAACGTAAACAATTATTTTTCGCGATTATCTCACTTAATTGTTTGCAACCAATAACGATTAAAAATATATTAATTGCATTAAAAATTATATTGTAATTGTAATTCATAATTGTTAATTAGATTAGATTTTTGTCTAATTCTGACATATCTTTCATTCGTCAATCAGGCATGGTTGCAGAACTGTAATGCATACAAATTATTCACCTGTCCGCCATCGCCCATGATCTGCTCTAATAAGTTCACGTTTATTAAATAAATTTTTTTGTAACTGATTCATATTATCTGAATCCGGAAATCTTCCAGATATACCAGAAATAACAATCTCCTCGCCGGAGTCTATACCGTTCCACGAATTACAAGATTCTTTATCATCCATGGTTTCGATTATTTTCTCGGATAATCTAGAGAATAGTATTGTATAAGTATTTTATATACCTACTTTTTTACTTGTACTGTTAACTGTACCTGATCTTGATATTGGTAGTATCACTGTAATATCGTGTGAGTTCGGCTAAGAAAAATAATTCTGCTACTTAAAAAAAACCACTCTGTATGAAGACACCGCCTCAAATGACTATTGAAATGTAAGTCTTACAATTTATAGACGATTGTTATATCATTATGCTGTATTGTTAAGCTTCTGTTGTATTAAGTGTGTAATTCAAATTTATTTATTCAATTCCGCGATCAGAGGATGTACATACATGTACGTCAAATTTTTCCGGATGACGCCTTGTGACCTTTCCTTAATTAATTTTTCTAACGTAACAGTATGTCGTATTATGCTAATTTGATTAAAAAATGTAAGCGTTCTTGATTTGTTGCTTCTAATTGTAACAGTTAACTATTTAATTTTTCAAAATAAATTTGTATCTACTTTTCTGTTCAAATTTATTATGTGTTGCCAATAATAAACGTCAAGCTTGGAAAGAAACTCACTCGAAGATAATTCTATTATCTTCGATGAAGTATATTTCTTCGATAAATATATTTGATAAAAATAATAAACGCACGCACACCCCCCCCCCCACACAAACACACACTCACGCGCGCACGTACGGACTCGCACACGGATAATATGTTTAATCTCGATGATAACTCAAAAACCAAATATCTTTTTTTCTAATTTGTATCTTTTACCATAAATCAAAATTGATTTAAAAATGGGGTTTTTTTATGAAAGCTTTCATATTCAATATAAATTGATATGTATTAGTTTTCAAAAATTCTTTAATTTCAAAATTTATATGCAGGTTGTCAGACTCGTTAGTAGCCAAACTAAAAATTATGGTAGATTGGGTTAAATTCAGAAGAAAAGTCATGTACCGTTGTGCAAAATTAGCAATAGTTATCGTGTAATTCATAAAAACGTCTTGGCGAATGAGCGTACAAGGAGCAGAAGGCCAGGCCCGGCAGGCATGCAAAATGGTTTATTTGTTTATATCTCCTAGAACGCGGTAGCGAGAGGTGTAGTGACGTCGCTCGTCACTCGATGCGTGAGAGTAACCCAACCCAGACAGCACACCATGTCTAAAAAGACAGCTTTAAGACTTTTTTAAGTCTAAAAGACGTCTTAAAGACATCTTTATGATGTCTTTTAGATATGTGTGCTGTCTGGGAATCTGCCGTAATTTTTAGTTTGGCTACTAACAAGTCTAACACCCTGTATATGTATAATAATAAAAATTTTCCGTTAACAATTACTGTCGCGCAACAACTGTAGAACTGTCTCATGATAGTACAATCTAAAATTTTACTACTTGTCAACACTAAAAAATGCACTGTTGCCAGGTGAATATCATTCATCCCCTTCAGTCATTCCTCTACGTTAAGTAAAAGTCGAGCATTTTCTTATGGTATTTCTAAAACGGTAAATAAATCAAATTGTATATTAGAATTTAAAGCTTCAAGAAAAAAGAAACTCATTTATTTATTTTGATAAGTAATACACATAGTAGTCAATTTATGCTAATGATATACGGTAAGTTATTTGACAAACAAATCACGAATTAATGACGTAAATTAATAAATCGCGATCTTTCATGTACATATAAACTTTCCTAAGACAGAAACACCTGAAATAATAATAGCTTTATATTACAGAAAACACGAATGGCAAATAATTTGATATTCCTATAGTCCTAACATGCATGTTAGGACAACATATTAATGATGACTTCTACGCGTTTATATTATTTAACGCGAACAGGGATACTTAAAAATCGCGTTTTAATAGTTCTGCGTACAGCCGACAACCCGGATCAGCGCAACAGTTCTAGTCGAAAAATAAAAGCGTACATATGTTATCATTAATACCGTTTATTGCGTTAAATATTACCACATACCTCAATGGTCGAATTGGTGAGACGCCCGCCTAGACTGTAGGGAAGTCCAGATTCAAACTCTGGCAAAGGTAGTATTTTTCGCCAAAAAAATAAATTTCTTTAATTAGAATTTGCCAGTTAGTGTCTTACAGCAACCACAGACATTTCTCAAAAACAATTCAAAAGCACATAACTCCGAATTTAAAGTACCTAACGAAAATATACTTTATTATAGTGTTTTGGAAAGCTTTTGAGGTAAGCTATAAGAATATTCATTTAAAAAACGGGTTTCCATTTAAAAATTTCAAGGTGATCTTTACGTGTCCTTGAGGAAGCTGTTCAAGGTCATATTTATATTACTATGTAATGCATTACTTAAAATCGTACAACTTTCATGTTTAACATTTTTTTCCATCTTACATATTTAAAAAGTTATTTAGAGTTACCTTATAAGGATACATACAGACATACATACATACACACATACATACATACATACAGACATTTTTTCTGAATGTGATTTTTGAACGTTTTAGCACATTCTAAACATGTTTTCAAAGAAAACTGGAAAAAAATTTTTTTCACGAAAACAAAGCTTCCTCTATGAGAAAGCAAAAACAATGTCGATCAATTATATGTAATTTTCAGACACAAATATTAAAAATTTTGAAAAATGTTTTAAACAAAAGTTGTAGATCTCTTTAAAATATATATTTTATGTCCTATTCATTTTTACTCTACGAGTGATAGTTTTCGAGAAAAATGATGGACTCTAAATCTTATATCTGTCCTCTCATCTAAGCATGTGCTTTGTAATACATATACGATTCCATATGGGTTTGCGACTTTCCACGTGAAGCGAGATCCGCACCACACCTCGGACATAGTGTGGGTAGGGTTATATTTTAACGAGGTGGAGCCCCCCCCCGTAGGGGGGGCGGAACGTACTGCCTCCATGCATGTACTTCCATGAC